ACTTGAACATGACGCTGCTTTTTTCGAAGTTTCTCAAGAACCATTCGAGCCACAGAATTCGTTTTGGCATCGTTGGGTAGAGAATTGAAAAGTCGATTCAGTCGTAACAACGAGAGTGAGGAAGTTCGAGTAATTTTGACCCAGAAAGCGAAATTTGAATATCAGATACTTAGGTGCAAGATTATGCCAAAATTTCATGTTTTCCGTCCCGTTTTTGCTCATTTCTCTGGGGCAAAATGAGCAAGAACGTTCATTTGTACATCATTCTAGACAGAAATGAATGGCCTTTTTAGAAAGTGAACCATCGATGGGGAAATGTTGGCAGTTTTCTCAAAAAATGCTTGAATTCGAGAAGTTTTAGATTTGCGCGGTATTTTTGAGTTGCAAAATCCACTTGAACATGACGCTGCTTTTTTCGAAGTTTCTCAAGAACCATTTGAGCCACAGAATTCGTTTTGGCATCGTTGGATAGATAATTGAATAGGGGGGGGGTCATGACCCCCCCTGGATCCGCCCTTGCATGCCAACCCAATATTTTCCAAATCAGGAAAAACGGCGCTAATTTTGAATCGTCGATTGCTACTTCTTAAAACAATATTTTCAATGATAAATACCGGGGAGGTTTCAAATGTTTTTTTCTGCAAGTTTATGGACGATCTGCATTTTTTCCAACTAAACTGCTTTATTTTGATAGTACTTTAAGGGAAAATTAAAAAGAACGCGAAACTCCGACAGACATAAAGTACATGAGCACCTAAGAAAATTATCTTACTTTCTCTATGGCCACTGTTCGTGATGGCATGGTGAAAAGATGAGAATCCTGCTTGTTCTGTTGACAGTTGACCACATATTCAAATTCAAATACATTTGAATGTATTGGATAAGTTATAAGTAAGTGTGATCGAAGCTGCTATGGATCAAGACCGGCTGGTCTGTTTGTAAAGTTGTGCTATTTTTTTCTGCTTCCATTTTTAGCTCTTGTTCCGGCTCCGAATGAACTATCAAGTCGTCAATTGTGGATAAGGACGAGGCAAGCCTCTCACTCAAGACCCTGATAGCCAAGTCCAAATAGTTCTGTATCAGCAAACATTTTTCTTCGTCAATCTCCACCTCATTGCACAACTTCGAAATCAATTGAACCTTTTGGTCTATTTCTGCGGAGTACGAGGAACTTGACTCCTGATCTTGAACATCGGTTATGGGAAGTTGAAATACGAACACCCTGGCAATGCCATGAATGTGTTTGCAAATCAGGTTTTTTACCACATGCTCAATGCATGAACATTTGAATGTGTGCACGCAGATATTACACTTCTTGCACATCAAGCACGGCTCTAAACACGTTTGTTTGATCAGAGTTACGTAATTCTTTTGGGGCCCGTTTTGCGAACTTATCAGCCATTCTCTGCCCTCGCGAATGACTTCGATCTGCTCCCTTGAAATGTTCAAGCTGGCTTTATGGCTGCGAAGAACTGCGTCGTTTTCCAAAGGCACAGTGCAAGGATGCACTTCATGGCCGTAGTGGCTGCTCCAAAAATTCACTTGCACGTTCTCGTTCTTTATCGTAACTTCCATTCGCGATGGGCAAGCTTTTCCTATTTTAATTGAGCCGCACGATTTCAACTTGCGGATATTCTTTCCCTTAGACTTGAACTTGTATGAACGGTGGCAGTTGAAGTATTTCTTCTGCACTCCATTGGATAACTGCTTGCTGGAAGTATCCAATGTATAGTAGGAGGTGGTTTCTTGCTGGACTTGCAGTTTCCAAAATTCAAAGTCTGCAAGAAAACATGCTAATACAATGATTGTTAATACAGAAATCTGGCAGCTCACCATCAATGGAGTCAAACTCATATGTTTCGAGATCAATCTCGACGTCATGGGCTTTAAGAATGTGGTCCCTCAAGTGCTTGTAGTGTGAGAATTTCTCCCAGCAAGTCTCATGGGGGCACAAAATCCTAGGCTCCCTATTCACACTCACAGCACTGTTTTCATTGATTTGCTCAGCGTCGTCAGTGCAGTGGCTCCTTTTGACGTGGTTCTTCAAACCAGGTTGGGAGCAGTACGCTTTCTCGCACATTTCACACGCAAATTCCTTTCTTTGGGGCCGGGGTTCCAAATCGTGATCAAAACGTAAGTGTGCATACAAACTCTTCCTATGCACGTACACTTTGTGGCAAATGGTGCATTTTTTTTGTAACAAGTCCACCTTCGGGATCTCAAAGTAATCTTCCATGGGGCCAAGAATTAGAAGAAAGCAGTATTTTTCTGATAGATATTATTAAAAATCCTTGGACGTTTGGGGGTTAGCGTAGATCATAAATAACATAAGAGAAGAAAAATGACATAGGTAAAGACAGGGGCACAGAACACGGGGGATATTCTGTGGCACAGATCACAGAGGTTAGGATTAAAATCTAAAACAACAAAATAACAGGACAAAATTAACAGAGCAAGCCTGGACCAGACGTTTATGAAAACTACTTAAAATACAATTGACCCTAAAACTAGTGACAATATTCCTAACTTTGATTCCAGCGAGGAAAAAACGTAAATTCCTTCGTATCCAACTATTTTATGTGCCCTTATTCTTCTTGATTCGCTTCCCCTCGTTCGAAATAGAATTTCGTCTTGCACCTGACAGATCGCTGATCTAACCTCATAGTTTTGACGATTAATTTCAGTGTTTTTCTCACGTTCTTCTCAGTACTTTTTTCAGAATGACCGATTCAAAGGAAGCAATGGAAGTTGAATCTATTGAATCAGTTCAAGTTCTTGACTCTGAAGATGTGTCCAAGACGTCTATGGAAATAGGCGATCCGAGTAAAAATGTTATGGCCGCAGGAACTACTGGCTCAGTTACTTGCTCGTTACATCCCCTGGTTATTATGAACGTTTCTGAACACTGGACTAGAGCCCGAGCTCAGAACGAGGAGAACGGACTGCCTCAAGGTACCGGACAGTTGCAACGGAAGCAGCTTTTTAAGGTGTATTAAGTGCTTGGTGTTTGCAGTTTTTGGGGCCCTGATCGGCAAGCAGAAGGGCAGGAATATAGAAATTATGAACTCTTTTGAGCTGGTTTTTAGCACTATTGGGGAAGACACCTTCATTGACCGGGATTATTACAATATGAAAGAGGAGCAATGTAAGTGTAAAACTGGATAGTTTATGTAGGTTTCTAATTAATTTTCGACCAGTTAAGCAAGTCTTCATGGAGATGGATTTTATTGGGTGGTACACCACTGGAGGCCCCGCCAACAACTCCGACATTAAAGTGCATAAGCAAATTTGCGATATTAACGAATCTCCGATCTTGCTCAAATTGAATCCTTGCGACAAAAATATCGATGTAAATATTTCATTACTTTTCACATTTCAATAATTTTGAGCAAGTTTGCAGGAAGCCGGTAATTTTATATGATCACTTTTCCAGCTCCTACCTGTGAGCTTATACGAAACTGTGATTGACCTGGTTAATGGGGAAGCAACCATGCTCTTCGTCCCACTCACCTACACGCTGGCAACTGAAGAAGCTGAGAGAATTGGTGTAGACCATGTAGCAAGAATGTCGTCAATGGATTCAGGCGAAAGCTCCCTTGTGGCCGAACATTTGACTGCTCAACATAGTGCTATTAAGATGCTGCACTCCAGAGTAACGATTGCCTAGTTTCTTACAGCCAGAGTTTTCAATCAATTTTTGTCTCCAGGTTCGTCTAGTCCTCGAGTACATGAAAGCTATACAAAATGGAGATTTGCCCCGGAATCATGAAATTTTGCGAGACGCCTATTCGTTGTGCCATCGGCTTCCAGTCGTACAAAGTCTGAGATTTAGGCAAGACTTCTATAATGTAAGTGCTGTGTCATTCTCCTTGTAGATATAAAGGAACTTCGAATATTTTTATAGCAATGCAACGATGTGGGTTTAATGACCTACTTGGGAGCCTTAACGAAAAGCTGTAACGACTTGAATCAATTCGTCAATAAATTTAACATCCTCTACGAACGGCAAGCTTTAGGGCGACGAATGCGCGGTATTTTAAGTTGGTAGAAAATGTTTTCTGTTTTTTTCTGTTTATTGTCCTTTACTCTATAAACACTCCTTTGCAAGATTAATCTATACACCGTGCTTAGAAAAGTTACTTCTTCAAAAATATAGCGTAAGGAAGACAGTTATTTAATAATTTTGTTCTCATAGTTATGTGTGATTATTAATTTGCTAATATAGACCCTTAAATCCAGTTGAGTTATTGAGTCATTAATTCCCTTCAGCCTCAGATATGTCTTAGGTAATAATGCTTCTGTCCATTCCAATCAGCTCCTCAAACAGCGTCCCGCTTAGCTCCTTGCCTCTAAGCACATGATTCGAATACCTCAATGTGGCTTCCGCTAGATCTTTCACCGTCCACTTCCGATCGATCAGTATTCTACAAACAGTGTCCAGCTTGGCCAGCTGTTGGTGTTTGTGAGTGTAGTAAACCAAGGAAGGAATGCCTGCAACACTGGCTGCCATCCACTGTATTACAACTTTCAGTTGAACGTCTCCTTTTCGCGAAGATCCGCATCCCCAGTTTCCGGTTGTAACTGCTCGGGAACCATTGGCGGAAGTTCTTGCAATTGCAGAAACCTACGGAAAAAACGTGGTTAATCAAGTGTGAGCTTGATTTGTCTGGAAATAGAAGAGGTTTGGTTACTAGGAAAACTTGGGATTTCAGCAATACTGGCTAGTTCGGAGTAGCTTTGATTACAGGGGCGGATCCAGCTTTAAAGTCAGGGGGGGG